TGAATTCACTTCCCCAACCAGTTGGCTGGATGTCAGTTAGCCTACTGAAATCAATGTGGGACAAGTCTTCTCTGTCCCATTGAAAACCATGCTCAGGGTGCAGGTACAAGGAACAAAAAGCATTTGGCGCTGGCGCCATGTCGAAGTCAGGTGCTGGGCATGGCCCAATGTGAGCCAAATTTTTGTCGAAGTCAGCTCTCCCCAGGTGATTTACTTCGCCCAAGTAATAGCTCTGATCCGCTTCTATATTTTCGACCATTCCATCAGGACGCCATAGTATTAACCTTTGGTGCATTGATGATGGTACTGCTCCAACACCATGTATCCATTCTCGGCCCAACAAAAGATTATAATTTGGTTTGGCCGATATGACCATAAACATAGTTGGTCGAAGGATGGATCCTACTTTGAGGTCTAGTTGGATCACACCCATAGTGGTCCCTATTCCGCCTTCATAATTCGACAGGACCATGTTATGAGGCTTGATGTTTTCATCACTCTTGCCTATTTTTCTCAGCATGAAGTGAGGGATGATGTTGATGGTTGCCCCACAGTCCACCAAGATCTTATTTACGGTGGCTTCTTCGAGTTTTGCCCTTATGAATAAAGGCTTGAGGTGATTTTTCATCGCCTCAGTAAGTGGTTCGAAGAAACCATTTTGCTCTTCGGTACGACCATTATCCATAACGAAGTAGCATACTGGCTTATGCTTCGCCATTTCTTGTTCGACTTCCCAGTCGTTCGATTCGACCTCTATCTGGCGGTTGAACTCTCTTGGCAAAACTGAGACTATGTTCACCATGATATCTAGGGTGTCATCAGACTCAGAGCCATCTTCGTCATCAACTTCGCCCTGGTTAGGCCATACCAGTCTATTGGTCACTGGTTGCCTCTCTAGAGGCTTTCTCTACTTTCTCTGAGGGACATTTGAACTTGATTCTGGCTTTGGTTCGTTGATAGCTTCCCTCTCAGCCTTTCGCCGCCTCTGGTATCTTCTCCATTGGGATCGAGACATGGGATTCTTTCCCTTGTAGTTACTTGATACCTGGGTCACTTTGGAGGCAACAACCTGAGGTTCTTTCTTGTGTGTTAAAGATGAACCTCTTGGCACTTCGAAGGAGTGCCACCTTTCTTCGCTCGGTCTCTTTCGACCCGATGTTTTATGCCACGTATCAACTGGAACATTGGTTGGAGGCCTGAAAGTCAGTGGCCTCTTTTCTTGATTTGAACCCTTTTGGTAGGTTCTTCTGGGGTCATGTCGAACATCAACACCTTCCCTTCTTCTGTTTGCTGCTCTTACACCTTGGATGTGTTCAACAGCTTTCTTGTCGAAAATCGAGCTGCATCGAGGACACATCATCACTTCTGACTTCTTCTTCTGGCATCTTTGCAGGAAATCTGCCAGATTTTCGTTTTCCCGAGGGAAAGCCGTTTTGTTTGCTTGCTCTTGCCTAATGGCCTCCTCTGAAGCTTTCGATTCAGAGATTTCGACCATGTTGACATTCATGGTGTCTTTGGTAGCAAGAGTCATCTGCTTCATCTGGGCCTCCAGGTCTTCTGTCTGGCCTTGGACTGCAGCCAAGTAGGAACTGGGTTTAGCTCCAGATTTTGAGGCTCCACATGTCTCCAGTCTTGGGCCTTCAGCAGCTTTTTGGACTGCTTCAATTGTTTTTCTAGAAAGATTCCCAGAAAAACTGCCAAAGATTGGCATGTTGATATGATCCTTGGTGACTTCGACCATAGTTATTCCTGGCCTTTTCACCCGACTTCTGGACGCCTCGATCACATTCACCTCTGAAGGTTCAACATAATGGGCTTCAGCCTGCAAAGGGTTAGAGTCCACAGTCATGGGGGTCTTATCGGCGAATTTTAACCTCCCTTCTTCGATAGCATTTTGTACGAGATCCCTGAAAAGAAAACATTGAGATGTTTTATGGCCCAGAAAATTATGATATTTACAAAAGCCTCTTTTCCTTCTTTGATCAAGAGGAGGCACTTTTACCCCTGGGGGTATTATCATTTGGCCATCTTTTACAAGTAAGTCAAAAATTTCATCACATTTTGTAATATCAAAACTGTAAGTCTTTTTAGGGAACCTATCGTTGGCCCTTTCAGGACCAGTGGGGTTTTTTCCACTTGAGGGGACTAGTAGTTTGCAAGAGTATGGTGGCCCTTGTTTTAACTCCGCTAAATCGACCTCACTTTCTTCGACGATTATAGGTTCGTCGAATGTTTCTGGATCTTCATCGTCCATTTCGACATATGCTATCCTTTCTCTTTTATGAGTTTTTGTCGCCCTGGCTTTTTCAGCTTTAAGGCGTTCTACCTGTCAAACCCTATCGGCCAATTGGGCCATGTCTCTCAGGTATTGAGTGTCTAATTTCTCCTAATGGAATAATCTAGACCTCCTGCGGCTATTTCGACTAACTCATGTTCTGGCACTTGCGTAAAGCATCTTGCTTTGAGCAACCTAAACCTATTTAGATATTCGTCTATAGGTTCAGTGAATCGCCTCTTTACACTGGACAATTCTTTCAGGCTTATCTTGGTTTGTCCCATATAGAATTTCTCATGGAACAATCTCTCCAACTGGGTCCAATGGTGGATCGAATTGGGGGGAAGAGTTGTGAACCAAGTAATGCGTTCTTTGTTAGGGAACTTGGGAAATACTTAATCCTCAGGTTTTCATTGTTTGAAATCCCTCCTGCTTCGATCAAGTATCTCGCCATATGTTCGACAGTGGATTCTGTCGTGTCCCCTGAAAATTTAGTGAACTTAGGGACTTTGCATCTAGGAGGTAAGTCCGTTTGTAACACATATTCTGACAGTGGGGATGTAAAGTTGGGCCTACGAAAGCCCGTATTCATCCCATTTTGCATCATGATTCTTTCGATCATGGCTGTCAAGTTATTTTCCAAACCAATATTCTGGTATTGGATCTGCTGAACTACTTCGTCAGCATTTTGGTTTCTATTGACTATCCTTACTTCCGGGGCTATGACTCTAGGTTCTTCGACCCCTGGTTGTTCCATTCGCATCCTAAGGTTTTCTTCGACAGGGCGCTGGACTTGGTTAATAGTGGTTTCTTCCTCTAGAAGTATACCTTGGTTTCCCCTCATCTGTGCCCTTTGGGGCTATCGAATAGGTTGGGGTACCCCAAGAAAGTCGGCCAGACGCGCCATTTGCGCTGTCATTTGCTGATTCGACTGGGTGGTATTTTGTATTAGAGGATTTAGCACTGTGCTTAAAGTTTGTGCCAACATTTGAACCATATTGTGGTTGCTTTCGTCCATTTGCTGCCTCAAGGCTGCTGTCGAGGCATTCGTAAGGCCATGCATTACTTGGGACGTTCCTCCTAAGAGTTGGGTCCTACCCCTGTTCGCCATACCAACTCCAGAACCTTGGAGTGGCGAAGAGGCGCTCACTAAAGGGTCTGAAAAAGTGGACGCAACATTCGTCAGGCTAGCCAATTCAGAAGTTGGCATGCCATAGAGTGGTTCTCGATTTAGACCGACTGTCGAAAAACCTGGGGGAACATAAGGCCTAGTTCCTTGGTTTCCCCTTGGTGGGTGAGTTCCCAAAGGCATTCTGGGGCCAGTAAATGGAGGTAGTGGCCCCGTTTGTGTGACCGTTACTGCTGGTGTTGAACCAGCGGTTACCATTTCACTTATGGTTGGGATGACCGTTGTTCCCACGTTTGTTTGTGGGATTTCGCCATTGTTTGGCAGATTCGCCATCGCTTCACTTCTTCTCCTAGTATTGGTATCGTTGGTGTATATTCTACCACTTCTCAATAACATGCAATACTCTCGAAAAAGGAGGATATTTTGTATAAAACGGTTAAACTTAAAAATCAACACAAGGTCCCACCGGGTGTGCCAATTTGTTTACCGTGGAAATTGGTAAACAACTGCTGATCTTCCAAAAGGTTACTTATTTGGTGACTCGCAGGATCAATCAGATTGATCCTAAGACATGGTTGATTTTCTGGAGTTTGACTAATCCTAATGTTGATTAATGCCGGTAAAGTAAAGACACTTTAAGTAAATTGCATGAAGAAAAGCTTGATAGAATAAATAAAAGCGTTAAATAAAAGGCTTCGACGGAGATGAGTAAATGAAAAGCAATAAAGTGCTTGAATATAAAAGACTTTGATTAATTTAAATGGTGTTTCACACATACATTTTCAACGATTCTTTCGCTCACACTGGGTACTTTAATCTAGATGAGTGACTTGTATAAAATGATGAACACCTCTGAAAACTACGTGAACAACTAGTATTTATACTAAAACAAATCCTAAGTAACCGTTGGGCAGTTACGTCGCTTCGAGATGACGCCACATGGCACGCTCACAGCCTTCGACGCTCCTGATCTCGGCACGTTGCACTTGGTAACTGCTGGGAACCGTTTTCCCTCCAAGCATTCAAATCTCAAACTGTTCGACCCTGGACATCAGGTACCTTTGTCGGGAGGTTCCTTCGACGTCGAAGACGACAAGATTCCCACTTAAAGGAAATTCTCTAAGTACCTTGTCATTCTCTGATGAGCCTTCGACAGGATCAGCTGGTCAAAGCCTTCTTATGTAGGAAATTCTTCTGACTCATAATTAATGGTCTATATTGATAACAAACAAGGGTGTCGAATTTAGGAGCCAACACCGGGTCTAGGCTTCCTAGTAATAAACTGCTATCTGGTCGGACTCCAGGCTCTACAGCGTCTTTAATTGTTATCTGGTCGAAATCCAGGCTTCACAGTGGCTTTAACTATTATCTAGTCATATTCCAGACTTCACAACGTCTTTAACTATTATCTGGTCGAAATCCAAGCTTCACAGTGGCTTAAACTGTTATCTGGTCAGATTCCAGGCTTCACAATAATTGACAGAGTAAACTGCTATCTGGTCGGATTTTAGGCTTTGCAACAACCTAAAATTCTATCTGGTCGGATCCAGGCTTCACAGTGTCTTGAATTGTAGATTGACTGTTATCCGGTCAGAATTAGCTGATGTCGCCTGATTCACCCCTATCACTATCGCTGCTGAAATTTTGTGTTGAATATTCATAATGGTTAATAAGCCTTTGATCAACAATATTCAGTAATTTCTTCTCAAAATTGTTCATGTTTAGTCCTTCTTTGAACATTTCATCTGTTGGTTTTTTGGCTATGAACATCTCTAGTAGTAGGATCCCAACACTGTACACATCACCACTAGTTGAAGCCTTGTATCCTAGACCATATTCTGAAACATGTCATCCCAATATTAGATAAGTTATGCAAAAATAGAAGGTAAAAGAAAGCACAAATCAAAGGGAAAAATAGAAGTTTTTTGAGAGAGAAACCTTGCCAATCCAAAATTTGCTACATGTGCAACCATATCTTCATCTAGCAGGACATTGACAGGTTTAAGATCATAACGGACTATTGGTGGATCACAACATGGTGCAAGTAGTCCATGGCAGATGCCACATGAATAACAAGAAGTGATCACCTTAACAAAATTCCCATGCCTAACGTTTTTCAAAGCTTCGCATTCTACATCAACAACTTTAACAACAAGTATGGTGGTTTGACTTTCGTAAGTGCTGGTGTTGAAGACACCCTTGTAAACAGAACCAAAGCCTCCTTTTTCCAACCAAGTTTGTAGCAGAAAAATTGTCTGTAGCAAGCCCAATATCACCATATGATAGATTTTGAGGCAAACCCTTAATAAGAGTTGATGACAAACTACTTTTCTCCTCCTCATGTTTCTTTAAGAATATTAGCAGCCACAACAGATAGAGCATTGAAGCGAACAAAACAATCACACCTATAATCCCTAGTATGATAGGGAGTAAAATGTTTCTCTTGTTTTTTTTACCTGCAACACACAATGTGAATCCCAACTTGTACATAACTTGATTGTTAAGGTCACATAATATGTTGTTACCTTGGAGATCAACCTGGCTTAGGTTCATAAAACCACCTTTCATAGGAACCCCTCCTTCCAATTTGTTGAAAGATAAATTTAACTTCACCATATACTCAAGCTTTTCTAGACTCTCAGGAATTAGGCCAGTGAGATTGATTGATGATAAATCTAAGGTCACAAGGGATGCTAAATCTCCTAGACTATTTGGAATTGAGCCACTAAATTTATTTCTTGCCATCTTAAGTGTCTTCAACCCGTTTACTTCGATTTTGAAACTTGTTGATTCCTTTAGGAATGCTTCCATTTAGCTGATTATTAGAAACACAGAACTGTTGTATATTGCCTGAAAGATAGGAAACAGAACTTGGAAGTTCACCGGTCAAGTTTTTATCCTTGAAAGAAAATTGCAATCCGAAATGCAACGAAATATTAAAATTTTCCTTTAGTGATCCTTACGAATGGGCATGGTCAGTGATAGAAATCATTACCTCTTGTGGTGATTCAGACCTTTGATGTTGTGATCACGAACGTTAATGAATAACAATGTCTCTACTTAGTCCACACGAACAGATCGCTTCCGGTCACAGTACTAGCTGCTTACGAACGGAAACTTTGAGTGAGAGAGTGAGACAAAATACAACTAGGGTTTCAAGACCGAAATTTCATCAAGTGAAATGGTTCAGCACAAGGGTTCTATTTATAGAACCACTTATGTGAGCTGCAAGCTAAAAGCCCAATTAAGCCTACGGGTATCATACCTTATGATATATAGCATATCACTTAAGCGTGTGGTACCTTACCACATTCCATATTTCACTTAAGTGTATCGTACCTTATGGTGTTCTACAATTCACTTAAGGGAACCGTACCTTAAGGTTTTCGTTATTTACTCTATCTCTCATCAACCTTTCCTTATGTGTGTGATTCTGTAGGCTTTTGTGACATTGGTAATTATATTAAATCACACATTTAACATAATAAATAGTGAGCGATATTTATCTACACATCACTGCTACCCATGTCACGAAAATGTCATGTGATCTGACAAAACCTTTCTGTGATAATATTTGTATGTACAATTACCCTTTTACCCTTATGTCTATATTGAATACAAGACATAGACCGTGTCACCCTTGTCCAGTTCAATATTGGGCCCTTAGACATTTATCCTGTTATACAGGATGTGAAATTTCCATCTAGGTCACTCATGTCCCTCAGCATGCTTTGTGAAGTACCCATCAACTGTCTTTATGGTCATCCAGTTACGGATAACATTTGATTAGCAATAAACTACTTAACTTTACATCTAGGGTCCATAGTAGTTTCAGGTCGAAGAGTGCTATACACCATTATCACCATGAGAATAACTTATGACACCTTTCATAACATTCTATGTAGTATTCTCATAGCGGGTCAATCCAGTATAAATGTTACTCCTAATATTCATACATATTGTCAAGACTTGATAACTCCTTATCCATGATCCATGAGGCGTGATCATCAGTTTATCTTCATAATAATCTCAATGCTTTAATGTTATTCCACTTTGCAATAAAGCTCGACTACTGATACTTTAAGAATAATGTTCTTATGTTTAATGGGATCTGTTGTACCCCAAAATATACCCTCTCACTTATCAAGAATTTGCTCACAAGATCTCCTTTGGCTCAAGACTGCACTAGGGTTGATCAGCTCAAGACACCTCCTTAAGCATTGATGACCAAAATTATGGTTTGAGTTTGCACAAAGATATTTGAACTTCCAATACCCCATATGACTTTCATGGATCATTATGGACCCTCAAGATTACTCATGTTAAGTTTCAAGCTTTGGATCACACTTTTGCTCAGTCAATTGAGCAGTTGACTTAAAAATAAGCTGTATTGGGAAAAAGTCAACTATGGACAATTTATAGTCAAACTTCATAATTTTTTATCCACATAAACTTTTTAAACTCATATGTATCATTGGATCAAGTTTGGACCACAATTCCTCAAGAAATTTGATCAAATCTTCAAAAGGGCAAAATGGTCAAAATTAGGGTTTTGATTGGGAAATGGCAATTTCTGATTTTTGACCTAGCAAGTGATTAATTGGTTTAAGGAATGATCTCAAGAGTCCAATTGCATCATTTTGACCTAATGACATGGTTCAAAAATATTGCTCAAGTCTAATGGATTGACATATGAATTTTCAGTCAACTGTATACTGAAAAGTCAAACTTTGACTTTTTGGTCAAAATCAAATGTAAAAAATCACAATTCATCAAAGTATGTCAAAATATGAAACTTATTCATCAAGGAATAAAAAATTAAAGATTTCATTTTGAAAGGTTAAAATTTCTAAACTTAGAAATTTTTCTAAGTGTTGAAAATTTCTTATTTTTTCACAACTTTGAGCAAAATTTTCACCATGATGCAAGATGATTCAAAAGAAACTTTCAACATGAAAGTTGTAGATCTCCATGAAATCTAAAACTTTTCTAAACACAACTCCTTCCAAAAGTGCTTGGATCTCAAGTTATAATTTTAAGAATACATGGTCATGAAACAAAACACTTAGTGAAATTTTGCCCTAATTTGGTCAGGATTTTGACCCAACTTCATGGCACATTTTCATATAGTTCCAAGGGCAATTTTCAAAAGTTATTCAAAGAGGGGTTGTATAGCACATTACAAGCTTTCCAAAATATCCAAGAACTCCTTTGGATCATTTTTGAGTAGGGAGAATCGAAGAGATGAAGTTACGGATTTCACACTTGAATTACAAGTCATTTTGTGATGAACAAGATTCAAAATTCAAACTTATGCTGCATAACCTCTACTTTGTAGGCCTCAAACTTGTTAGGCACTCCATAATTAATTTCTTGCACAGCTGTTAGAGGTCTCAATTCAAGCATTCAATGCAAGGTCATGCTTTATATCCATTTTGGGAAGAAAGTGCACAATGCCATTTTGATAAAGTTTCTTTTTGCATAAAACTTGTTCTTGAGCCTTGCACTTGTTCTCTTCTGATCATACATGTCTTATAACTCAAGAGAAACTTGTTTATACACTTACAATCACTCAACCCATGCTTGTACTTCTTCTTGAAACTTGTTTTCCCACTTTTCTTGAAAAATCAAGTAACATAGCCATTAGCTTATAACTTGTACTTCTGACTCTCCAAAGCACTCAAGACCTTTTGCTTATACATACACAAGTCATTTGCCACAAATTCCACGCATGCTTAAGCCCTGAAAACACCAAGAACACAGAATCACCAAAAACACTTCAAAACTTGCCATTTCTGAGTTTTGAATCCAATCTCCAAATTTGCTCGTGCGTTTTTTGGCCTTTTACTTTCAGAAGCTTCTAAACAACATACACAAACAATCCCAACACCTGCAACACCACTTTAACACCTCCATTTTCAGCTCAAGTTAAGGATCACATCAGCTTCCTGGGAACTTGAGGAAGCTAATCCAATCATTGGAACTCACTAAAAGCTACTCAAACCCCAAACACGATACCCTCTTGCAAGGTAAGTTTTCTGACTTTTGAACTCTTCATACATGCATCATTAATGGTTTATTTGTGAATGAAAAATGTTGATATCATTGCCCTAAAGATAACCATGTCGATAATTTTCATTTATATTGCTTAAGCTTAGAGAATTTTAAGATTGAAGTTTCTAAAATTTTTAGGATTCAGATTAGGGCCATTAAAATTCATGCTTATCTTTGATCTTTAATTTTATTGCTTTGCATTTCTGAAATCGTGAGGAAATTTGCTACAAGTTTCCTGTTTACATTTTTCATTTTTGTTGAGGATTGAATAAGATACAGAGGTTCTGGCTGGGCGTGAGGTTGAAGATGAAGTTGGCCTCAGGAATGAGTTTACCATATATATTTATGGTTTGATTTATATAAATGGATGTATAGCCACCCCAGTGGTAGAAGCGCGCGCCTGTGACTATAGGGACCTGGGTTCGAGCATCAGTGGTACCCTTTTGATTTTTTTTCATATTTTTCACATTCTGACTTTTTTGGTAGTGTTGGGCCTCATCCCTTGGGCCTTATGTTTTTTTTTACTTCTAACCCCCTTCCTGGCTATTCACACCCTGGTCTATTTTTATTTTCTTTTTCTTATTTTTATTTATTTGTTTTCTTAAATATTTTATCTAATACTAAAAAATCTGAAAAAATATAAAACAAATATTAGATTTATATTTTGATTTAGCTTATTTATTTTTTTACACAAAAAAATATTTTATTTAGTCATACTTTATTTATTTCACTAATTGATTTGTAAATTTAATTAGAAACTAAGTTTTTTTAGTTATTTTCTTTTACACAATTTAAATATATTATTTCAAAATATAAAAAGACCAAAAATATTTTATAATATTATAAATTATTTTTAATACAAAAATACCAAAAATATTCTTCTTATAAACTTAATTTCTTTTTTAATCAATTAATAGATTATGATTTTATTTAAATTCTTTTCCTAGTAAATTTAGTTTACTTTTTTTTTTATATAATTTTAATTAATTATTTTCTTTTAGTTAATTAGTTTAAAACTAAAACCCCCTTTCTCTAAAAAAAACCAAACAAAATATCCATTTTCTTTACATTTACATTCTTGTATATTTATTCATTTTTGTACATTATTTATCCAAATTCAATATGGTTGTAATAGATAATTAGGCTTTATTTTCTTGCAATCCCCATTTTTAATTTGTACACCCCCTCCCACAAGTATTATAATAGCGTAGTAATTTTAAATTCCTCAATTTATCGCTTTATATACAAATGCTAGTAATTAGGTTTTGTATGGAAAGACTAAAACCAATCAATTAGAAAACCCTAATCAAAGACAAAACCAAGCATGAAAATTAATACACTTGCACACAAGCATCCTTAGGGTAAAATCCACTTGGTTGCCTTACAAAATGGCCATATTATGCATGTGAGGTATCTTAGCAAAAACAAGCAAAATATAAGATCATAGTCCCTCGATGACGCTATCTATGTTGCCTTTCAAATGATCTTAGTCCCTAAAAGAGAATGCTAAGATACATTGCAACATTGCTAATCATGGTTATACGATGACCCACATCCGTCCCGTTTACATCCAAAGATATGGTTACTTACCAAATCAATGGTAAGATAACAATGTCAAAGCAAAGAGGAAATGAACATGAAAGACTTTTGAGTAGGTAGAATGTCCCCTAGTTGCTTGCTCACTTTCAAAACAAAACATTCTTGCTATTTTCAAAACAAACACCTACACTTTCAAAACATCTTACAAACTTGAAAAT